GTTAACTTGGGCTCAACCCTAATTGACCCATGAGCTAAAATGTTTGTAGCCCAACCCATTAATCTCTGGGTTAGTTGGGCGGGTTAGATGGGTTTGGGCTCAAATTGTCACCCTATGTGGAGGCTTGAACCTGTGACCTAAGACACAAATCCACCACCCTTTGCCACTTGAGCTAGGCCCTGAGGGCCATGTTGTATGATACATTATTACAAACTGTTGTTCGATGGTACAAGGCAAGCCGGATCCCCATATGTGTCTTGTTAGATATGTAGTCTTGTCCCACATTGGAATAGGAGTAGTATGTCCTTGTATATTATAGCTATAAATAAGGACCTCTTGTATTGTATTGAACACACAATATCAATATATCATATTTTCTCCCGTGCCTTCTCACATGGTATCAGAGCTATCGTGAGAGATTTATCATTGTGCATAAATTCCAGCAATTGCAGGAAGTGAAATCAGTCACCGGAACCCTTTTTCCGGCGACTTTCAAAGTTGTTTTGCGCTTTGTCTCGGTCAGTGTTGTGCAAAAAATCCAACACTACCACAAGAGTAGTCACTGTCCGGCGACCAAACCCCAGTGAAAATCTCCGGCGGTACTGTAGCTGTCTGAAGAAAATTTTCCGGCGAAGTTCCGACGTCGCGTGGGCCATCTTCCGGCCATTTTTTGGCGACGACTCTTCAGGATAGATTGTTCCCCTTGCAATTCCGAGCCTACCCATCCAGGTTACACCAAATTCCGACCATTTTTATATTTTTCCGGCGTAAATAGTGATTTCAAAAGTGGACTTCCGGCCATTTTTTGAAAAAGTTCCTTCAGAACGGTTGGGTCTTCTGGTAATTCCGATCCTACCCCTACTGTTTTTATTTCATTCCGACCACTTTGAATATTTTCCGGCAGCTACAGTAACTTCCCGGCTGCTATAGTAATATTCCGAGAGCTACAGTATTTCTGGAGTGAACAGTGTTTTTCGGGCAGAACAGTGTTCTATTTTCCTACTATAAAAAGTGTTTTCTCAGCAATTTCTTCAGTTTTCCCAAAGGAGTTACTAATTTTCACTATTTCAAGTTAACCCTACCACTATTAATTGTAGCGACATGGGAACCGATACTTCGAATAGTTGGATGATTTCTTTAGTGGATTATTTTGAGTTTCTTCATTACAAAGCAGGTAAGCAGACATCTTCTGAGATAGCTTCCGTTGTTCAAATAGGTAATAGCGTGACTTGTGTCTCTCAATCTTCATCCTCTGAGTCTTGGGTCATTGATTCAGGTGCATCGGATTATATTTCTGATAACAAATCTCTTTTCACTACTATTTTATATTCTCAATCTCTTCCAAGAGTCACAATGGCCAATGGGTCTCAAACCATGGCAACTGCAATAGGTCAAGCAAGCTCAATTCCTTCCTTACCTTTAGATTCAGTTCTTTATGCCCTAATAGTCCTTTTAATCTCATAGTTGTTAGTCGCCTAGCCAAATCACTTAAATGTGCCGTTTTATTTCTTGATGACCAAGTTTTTATACAGGAACGCAGTACAGGGCGGATCATTGGTACTGGGCGTGAATCAAATGGACTTTATTACCTTATCCTTGCTAAATCACATGGACTCACATCTTGTCTTCCTTCAACAATTTGTCCTGTTACTGATTCACCAGATTTATTACATAAACGGTTGGGACATCCTAGTTTGTTAAAACTTAAGAAAATGGTACCTGGTTTATCTCACTTGTCAGCTCTAGAGTGTGAGTCTTGTCAGCTCGGTAAGCATACTCGCTCTCATTTTCCTCGACGTATTGATAATCGGGCAGAGTCACCTTTTACTTTAGTCCATTCAGATGTTTGGGGTCCTAGTCGGGTCAGTTCCACCTTAGGATTCCGCTACTTTGTTAGTTTCATTGATGACTATTCTAGGTGCACCTGGATATTTTTGATAAAAAATCGATCTGAGTTGTTTTCTATTTTCCAGACCTTTCACGCTGAAATTCAAAATCAATTTGGGGTTTCTATTCGCACATTTTGTAGTGATAATGCCCGAGAGTATTTGTCTTTCCCATTTCAGCAGTTTATGAAATCACATGGGATTATTCATCAAACATCTTGTCCGTACACATCTCAACAAAATGGGGTGGCTGAAAGAAAGAATAGACATCTTATTGAAACTGCTCGTACACTACTCATACAATCTCATGCTCCGTTGCGTTTTTGGGGGGATGTAGTTCCTACATCTTGCTATCTTATTAATCGTATGTCATCTTAGCTATCCATAACCAAGTTCCATTCTCTGTTATGTTTCCCCACTTACCTTTGTTCTCTCTTCCACCCCGTGTCTCTAGAAGCACTTGTTTTGTCCATAACCTTACTCCAGGAACAGATAAGTTGGCTCCCCGTGCTCTTAAGTGCGTATTTCTTGGTTTCTCGAGAACGCAAAAAGGGCATCGATGCTATTCTCCTGACGTCCAGCGGTACCTTATGTCCGATGATGTTACCTTCTTTGAAACCCAATCATACTTCACAGGTCCAGGTAATCACTTAGATATTTCTGAGGTACTACCAATCTCTTCTTTTGGAGATTCAGTCACTATCTCCCATCCATCTTCCTCTACATCTCCAGCTCCACCACCTATAGCTCCCGTTCTACCATCTATAGCTCCAGTTTCACCACCTATAGGTCCAATTCCTCCACATAATCCAGTTCAACCTTCTGCAGCTCCGCCACTCTTGACTTATCATCGCCGTCCGCATCCAGCATCAGGCCCAGGTGATTCACGTCCTGCATCAGATTCTGCACCTACTGCGGACTTGTCTCCTCTTAGTCAACCAATTGCACTCCGCAAAGGTGTACGGTCCACAATTAATCCTAATCCCCACTATGTTAGTCTAAGTTTTCACCGTCTGTCGTCACCTCATTATGCTTTTATATCTTCTTTGTCCACTGTTTCTATTCCTAAGTCTACAGGTGAGGCACTATCTCATCCTGGATGGCGACAGACTATGATTGACGAGATGTCTGTTTTACATGCGAGTGGCACTTGGGAGCTTGTTCCTCTTCCTGCAGGTAAGTCTACTATTGGTTGTCGTTGGGTTTATGCAGTCAAAGTCGGCCCGGATGGCCAGGTTGATCGGCTTAAGGCTCGTCTTGTTGCAAAAGGATATACTCAGATTTTTGGGCTTGATTATAGTGATACTTTCTCTCCCGTGGCTAAAGTAGCATCGATTCGTCTTTTTTTGTCCATGGCTGTTGTACGTCATTGGCCTCTTTATAAGTTAGACATTAAAAATGTTTTTCTCCACGGTGATCTTGACAAGGAAGTTTATATGGAGCAACCACCTGGTTTTGTTGCTCAGGGGGAGTTTAGTGGTTGTGTATGCAGATTGCGCAGGTCACTATATGGTTTGAAACAGTCCCCTCAAGTCTGGTTTGGTAAGTTCAGCACAATTATTCAGGAGTTCGGCATGACTCGTAGTGAGGCTGATCACTCTGTGTTTTATCAGCATTCTGCTTTGAATCTGTGTATTTATCTGGTGGTTTATGTTGATGATATTGTTATTACTGGGAACGATGATGATATTACTAGTCTGAAGCAACATCTCTTTCAGCACTTCCAAACTAAGGATCTGGGCAGACTGAAGTATTTTCTAGGTATTGAGGTCGCTCAGTCTAGCTCAGGTATTGTTATTTCACAGCGGAAGTATGCCTTAGACATTCTTGAGGAGACTGGAATGATGGGTTGCAGACCTATTGACTCTCCTATGGATCCGAATGCTAAGCTTCTGCCTGGACAGGGGGAGCCTCTTAGAGACCCTACGAGATATAGGAGGTTGGTTGGCAAATTGAATTACCTCACAGTGACTAGACCTGACATTTCTTTTCCGGTGAGTGTTGTAAGTCAGTTTATGGATTCTCCCTGTGATAGTCACTGGGATGCAGTTGTTCGCATTCTTCGGTATATAAAGTCAGCTCCAGGCAAAGGATTACTATTCGAGGATCGAGGCCACGAGCAGATTGTTGGGTACACAGATGCTGATTGGGCAGGATCACCTTCTGATAGATGTAGATATTGTGTTCTAGTAGGAGATAATTTGGTCTCGTGGAAGAGCAAGAAACAAAATGTAGTTGCTCGATCTAGCGCCGAAGCGGAATATCAGGCCATGGCTATGGCAACGTGTGAGTTAGTTTGGGTCAAGCAGTTGCTCAAGGAGTTAAAGTTCGGAGAAATCAGCAAGATGGAACTAGTGTGTGATAACCAAGCTGCTCTTCATATTGCGTCAAATCCGGTGTTCCATGAGAGGACTAAACACATTGAGATCGACTGTCACTTTGTCAGAGAAAAAATACTTTCAGGAGATATTGTTACAAAGTTTGTAAAGTCGAATGATCAACTAGCAGATATTTTCACTAAGTCTCTTACTGGTTCTCGTATTAGTTACATGTGTAACAAGCTCGGTACATATGATGTGTATGCACCGGCTTGAGGGGGAGTGTTAGATATGTAGTCTTGTCCCACATTGGAATAGGAGTAGTATGTCCCTGTATAGTATAGCTATAAATAATGACCTCTTGTATTGTATTGAACGCACAATATCAATATATCATATTTTCTCCCGTGCCTTCTCACATGTCTAATTTCAGATTAATAAACGGATTGATAGGTCCGCTATGTGAGGGTTATGTTGTGGGGTGCCAGTCACGTGACCCCTAATTTTCAGGTGTAACATAGTCACGTTATCCAATTAGAAAATATGTTTATCACAAACTACATATTCTTGGGCTAAAAGGACAGCCTAAAAGGATGTCAATTTTTATACTTGGGCCTTTTGTTTAATTTTTTTTATCAATTTTCACAAGATCCCAATTATTCAATCTGGACGTCCAGAGATCACAAGTAAGTTCCAAACACAATTCTTGCTAGGAGCCATATATTATTACATACTTCACGTTTACATACTCTTTACTTAGTATAACTATTTTCATTTTCCTTATTCAGGAAGGCTGTCACTTGTTACCTATTCCCTAAAGAAAACGGACACATGCAGCAACAGCAGCGTGTCAGTGTGCTGTGCAAGTTACTAGATGACGCTAGTAGTGCGCTTCACCTTATTGAAACTGTTGCCGATGCAAGAGGTGATAATTTTAAAAGATATACCAAGCCGTCCGCTATTTCTTTGGAGATACATAAGTTGTATTTTACCTGCATTTCTTGCGCCAGAGTCCTAGCACCAAGTTTCTTTGAAATCTCAGCCTTTAAAACAAATCGCAATGCAGCACACGCATTGATATTTGGAAAATTCTACAGAGCCAAAATGTAGCACATCAATAAAACCAAGAGAAGGAAAGAAAGTACAAAAAAAAAGTTCAGCATAATCATGACTTTCACCTTTGTGATTAGTTGATCATTCAAATCGTTAGAGATGATTATGCTTGAGTTTGAACCAATAGTCAACTTCAAACTGGAGTTTTCAAACAAATAAAAACCTAAACATATCATGACATAGAGGTAGAACAAAACTTTCTTCCAAAACCTTAATCATGAAAATAGGCGTAGGAAAATTGTCAGAGAAACCTTTGAACCAGCAAACCAAGATAGTTGAGGATGACAAATGGCCTCCTCACATTCTGAATGACACACATCTAAAAAACGATAAATGGTGTATATTAGTGACAGAATAAAGTAGCTTGAAGCATATAACACAGGACAGAAGAGACCTGCATATCTTGACGTAGGAATCTACAACACGATCTCCTCACTAGATGTTCTTTTACAGAAATGATGGTAGTGGCACAACTTGGTTCTCCCTCAAGTTTAAAAGAAGAACGCAAGGATCTAGCCAATTTTGCAACTTTTCTTTCTGAAACTTCCAAACCCTCCTTGATAGTGGCCACTTTATTATGACGCTCCTGCATTACATAAAGCATCTGTATCATACTAGATTAAATTGGTCATAGCAAGTATGATGAGTTGGACAAGCTCAGAGGAATATAACATTATATAGGTCAACAAACAAAGTATACAAAGTTGTTTGCTAAAATCAAGCAAGTTATCTTTAATTTCTCTAACTTTTTAGTCCTCTAAAAAGAAGGCAAAAACATTTATTAAATGATTTCTGCATCATGAGCAAATTTAAATTAAAAAAAAAACATGTTTACATCCTTTCTCACAGACACATGCACGCGCATAAAGGATGATAAGTGTAAGACAATTATTCTAAATGTCTTCGGTATCCAAAGACAGAACCTGGAACGTGAGAAAACTTCATGAACATTAAAAGATATGAAGTGCACTAACTCGTTATTCTAGAAGCATGGTCACAAATAAAACAAGCTGTTGCATCTTGCCATCTTTCAGGTGTGCCACAATTAATTCTGATGAATAGACCCGAACTCCAGTCTGTACGAGATAAAGTAGTAGATTGTGAATTTATGATGATTAGGGACCTGATGCCCTTACAACAGACAAAAGACAAACTTCAACCGGGAGGAAAAGGGAACTAAAACCCATAGTTGAGCCTTCATAACTGTAGAGTAACCACTTAAAACTGACTGGGACAACTAAGAGCATTTTTCCTGTTAATAAAATGGATGTTGAGCTACAACTACTGAAAAGATAATGACTGACATACAAAGTCTCAGACGAATGGCAACTGATCAATAAGTCAAGAACTCCAGTTACAAGTTCTTAGTCATGGACTCATGGACAAAGTCAGAAGTAATGTTTACAGTTAATGACATCCATACAATTAACAGTTAATGATAACGACAATAAATATAACCTAGCAACACCACCAAGTTTTCAGCTGAACAAGGAACACCAAGAATGGAGAACTAAAAACCGGTCCTGGCAAATAAAATGACAGATTGAAGAGGGAAGTTTTCCTATTAGCGTTATTCCTTTATTGAATATTTCCTTCCTCTTTTAGTCGGCAAATACAATCAGCAAATGAAAGTGTTATAGGAAATGATCGGCATACCCAGTGTTATTGAAAGCGCTCGCTTCTCGCTTTAAGCGCTGAAGCGATGCGAGGCGCTGTTCTATCGCATTTCTGCTATAAAAGCGACTCACATAAAAAAAACGCACGCTTTAACCGCTTAAGCGAGAAGCGCCGCGATGGAAAAAGCGCAAAAAAGTGTGCTTAAGCGATGTGAAGGCATCTGCTTGGGTTTATTTTAAAATATTTGGCAAATAAACCGTCAATTGCCAAATAAACATACGCTCTTCTGCTGCTCCAACTCCAGCGACGACTGCTGCTCCAACGACTGCTTCTTCTCCGGTTCTCTGTAAGTTTCTTCTTCTCTCTTCTTCTCTTCTTCTTCTTCTTCTTCTTCTTCTTCTTCTTCTTCTTCTTCTTCTTCTTCTTCTGCTCTTCTTTTTCTGTTCGACTCCTTTTCTCTCTTTTTCTTTCTATTTTTTTCACTTTCTATTGCTCTGTTCTAGACATCTAATTTATGCTCTGTTCTTCTGCCCTATTTTTCTCTTCTTCTTTCTGTTTTTTTCACTTTTTATTGCTCTGTTTTTGTGCCCTAAAACTATGCTCTGTTTTCTGGTTTATTGCTCTGTTTTTGTGCCTTAAAACTATGCTCTGTTTTCTGGTTTATGCTCTGTTTTTCTGATTGTATTGCTCTGTTTTCTGTTTTTCTGTTTTCTGCTCTGTTTTTCTGCTAGTGCTCACTGTTCTGGTTCGTCAAAATTAACTGCTAGTGCTTAATATGTTGTTTTTAATGAGTTCCTAGCCATTTATCTATGCCTTTTTTTTATTTGTGTTAAATTGTACATGAAAAAAGCGCGCGCTTTGCTTAGCGCTTCTCGCTTCGGTGAAGCGAGGCCTCGTCGCTTTTTTGAGCTTAACGCTTTCCAAAACACTAGGCATGCCAAACAGCAGTATGTAATCAATATTTGATTTCTATAGAGTACCTCCTGCAGAGCCTTTTCACAGGCTAATGAGCTCTCACTAGAAATAGCATCATCCTGGGTGACTCCTGAGACAGTTATATGAAGTGAATGATTGATTTTTGACATTTGGGACCTCTGAATTCCAGAGTTCAACAGTTGACATTTTTCCTGTATGCATGATGACTTATGTCAAAAGAATGACAAGGTGATCATAGAAAGAGAGATTAAGCATAAATAGTACCAGCAGTTTCTTCTTCTTCGCACACCTCAAGTGATACTTTGCTTTCTCATGTACAAGCTGACATAACAACATTATTGCTTCTAAAGTTCTGCATTATCATCACATATAAGAGAGATAACACACTTTTCAAGCACACAGAAATATGATGTCAAAATGAAAATAACATCAATTATGTTGGCAAATAAAGGTGGAACGAGAATTTACCTTTTCTCCTGAAAACTGGTAACTAACGTTTTCTGAAAAGATGAGGAAATCAAGGTCAATAGCTACTTAAAACTTCCTGGGCATAAGAAGAATGCATTTAACATTTGATCTATTATTATTTTGCTTTTCATTAGTTCTGAAACATGAGCCAACGTATCCCCAAGCAAAGAAACCTGAGTGAGAATTTGACGGTGCAAAATGTCGTATGTTTGTGCCTTCTGCATTCGGGTGACAATGTCTTCCACCATTTCAATCTACAACAATTTATTAAAAAACAATAAAGATGATAAGACAACATGAATCAAAATCTGGTTATTTTACATCTAGAAGTAAATTCTACCGACAGAACATTTCTAAAGCATATCTTAAAGTGAAAAAACTATACTGCTGGCATAGTAAGCATGGTAAGTCTTTCTTTAGGCAAAGATATCCACTCATCTGCACCCTCCATACGTTTGGATTTAATCTGCAACATAAAAGAGGAAGCCTTTTCATTTCCCGAACCCTTTTTTTCAAAAAGAGTGCCATCCAGGCAAGTAACATAGAAAGACCATAAAGCCATCTTACATCTTTCCATTGTCTGAGTTCAAGATGAGCTCTGAGCATTTCTTTTCTGCTATCATCAGGACGTCCCGAGATTCCTGGACTATTACCAACCCCTCTCTGGAGTTTCGAGCTACTTTGAGACATGATAATTTCATTTGTGTGTTCCATATCTCCATATGTCAACTCTTCACTGCATCTTTTATGGGCAGAAGAGTTTCTAGGTCTGCCAATTGAGTGGTTGCATGTGGGAGATTGCACAGCTTCACCTACAGAGGAACATGTAGTGTTGGATTGTGCCAGCAAGTGAAACCCCTTTGCTGGTGGACTTCGTGAAGACCATTGTACAGGAGTCTGCAGAATATGGCTATATAAGTGAATATTGAATGCAAGTTGCGAATTTTCAAGCTAAAAAAGTGGCAAAGCAGGAATTCAGCAAGCGTGTGCTTAGAAGCCACAATAAGGATTTGGAGTTAAAAAATTAAATGAAAAACCAAATTCGTAATGGAAAAAGAAGAACAAGCTGTTTGCATGTTTCAATATCCAAAATTAACAAAAAAGGAAGAACAATTGCCAATGACAGTAGCTTTTTTAAGGAAAAAGGGGACAACACCACATTGATAGAAGTGAATCAAATGTAGGGAAAAATAACCTTAGGGAAATAGCAAATAAGCAAATCATCATGGCTCATGCAGGACACAGGTTTAGCTGCATACCGACACCACAGCAAATTAATTGATCGGTCTCAAACAACACATAAGGGAATGGAATGGTGTATTAACCTTTTCAACCACCAACGCGCCTACATTCTGAATAGAGGAAGAAGCAGTGCGAGCTAAAGGAGACTTGTTTAGCTCTTGAGGATCAATTTCAAATCTAGGGAGACCATTTGCACTCTGAAAATTCCCATCTAATATTGCTGAAGATAGATGAGAGCTCCCATCCCTGGAGATCTTTGAGTCCTCAGTGCTTTCCAGTACATTCATTTGATCAAGGAGCTTAGCTTCTATGCTATATGTCCCGTCTGGTTGCCTTAACACTTTGCTGCCTTCGACAACTGGTGAACCAGACTGTTCTTCAGTTGATGTGGAGGAAGAATGCCAATTGCCATCCGTTGCATTCGAAGAATGTCCATCTGTCAAATTACCTATTGAAGATGCATTTTTCACTAGGCCTAAGCTCTTCATGGGTTCATCATGCAACTTTGATTCTTTAAAGGGGCTGGACTGATGTTCAGTCCATGTTGATGACTTTGACTGCAAGGACTTTTCTGGAGAAAAAACCAATTTTTGAGCAATAGCAGTCACTTTCTCCTGCCCTAGATACTCAACCAATGGGAAACCAGTTCTAGAAATCAGCGATCTCTTCTGCCTGAGGTCATCTGGTGTAAAAGTGTCATTTGTCTTTCCCGACCAAGAAAACCTTGATGAAGCCAAAGGGGCTGTAGGTTTCAACACTTGATCCACGGGGAGAAAACCAGTATTTAGCCGATTGAGAGATTTCCCCTGCTTTTCAGGGCCCAGAGATTGTTCACATGGAATTACATCGTCGCTAGTTAAAAGAGTCTCACTCCTACTACCACCTGAGGTGAACATTTTTTTTTTTCCTTCCTTCATAGAAGTACCTGAAAATTGCTCCTCTGTACAAGTCATAAAGGAATCCAGAGATTTGACTCCCATTTGTAGGTTCCTTTTCTTCAATATAGAATCCAAAGGAGGTGTTCTTGGAAACACTAAGGATCTGATGTCCATATTGGGGATTCTGTCACCAAGGGGAGAAGATAGTTCAGAAGCCTTAAGTCTCTCAAGTTTGGAAATGTTCTTCTGGAGGGACGCTGAACTTGTCCAAGGTCCTCTCTTTTCATTGCTCAAAAAGGAAATGGGATCTTCAAGGAAAGACACTGCCATTGAATTCTGTTTGACAGGTGAAGGACTACCAATAACTATTATTCTTTGCGTAGCTGGTGAAGAGGACACTAAATCAACCAACGGAGATTCCCTGCCACGCGGGGACCCACAAAATTGACCAAGCTCACCATCATTACTACATAGGGCTTCACTAATTCCCACCTCAGAAGCATCCTTGACAGACTTATTATTTTCACCAACATCCTGCAATTGAAACTACAAAAAAAATGAAATCAGGGCATTGGGAAAAAGCAAAGTAGATTAAGCCTAACTTCCTGACCCAGTAAAAATATTTATCATAACTATTTTCCTGAAACAAATCATTCAGGGACATGGATAAAACATATCTGTTTCACAATTCAACGAGGAACTTAGCCCCAACGTGGCATGTACAGGATTTTAGAACAATGCATCCCTAAACAAGACACCAACTACTTGCAATTCAACAAGGACTTTAGCCAAAATATGACGTGTACAGGACTGTAGAACAATCTAAAAGAATTGGCAATGGCAAGTAAAAGATCATATCTTATATTTAAAGTCACATCTTCTATCACCTACCTTATCATCAAATAAACTTAGCATGTAGAATCTCAGAGTAGGAAACACTAAGGACATGGACATAATGTCAAGTGGAAAATGATGACTTATTTACATAAATGTAAACTAAAGAACTGAGGTGTAGATAAGCCCAACGATGTAGTGTACCAAGATGGTGTAAATAAGAGAGCACAACAGGTCATGGATATTGATTATGCATTTATGCAACGGAATTAACATACCATAACTCGGTTACTTACTTTACTTAGCTCCTTCGGCGACTGATTTACTCTATGAACATAATTATCCGGAGCTGGAACAGTGGATATGGGCAACGCATCAGCATCAATTGCACGAGAACGAAACTTATTACCATCATCTGTGTCGTCGATTTTCTGGCACAAAGGTACAAGTGGCATATTAAGACTAACAATTGCATTTGCTTCTTGTTCTCCATTTCCACCTAAATCCATCATTGCACTTCCAACCTCCATTTTCTTGCTTGCTGGTGACTCTAAAACACTAGTATCTCCTGAAACAGAATCTGCATGTTTTTCTTGGCCTTCTGCTAAAAGAGCTTCTAAATCAGGAGGGAGTCTCCCATAATCATATCTTCTCGAGTTTTCTCCAATCAGACTCATGTCACTCGAATCACTAATGCCACTAAAATTGGCAACAGGCATAGAAGATTGAGAAATTAGCTTCTTGGACATAGTGAGTTCCATGGAATTACCTAGACAGGTCTGTGTCGGTGTTTTCTCATCAAATGATACTTCTGTTGGGGTCTTCAAATCTATCCCTGAATCTGACCTAACAAATCTGCGGAAGTGCATGGAGAAAGCTGTTGAATCCATAGTAATATCATGATTTTCGTCTGACACTGCTGAATCTGATAGCCGGCCTGGCCTTATAAAATTGGGAGATACTGGGCCGAAAAAATTATCTTCTGCCAAAAAGAGAGGCCACATAGAATACTACTGTCACAAACTCTTAAGGGTTTAACATTCCTATCAAATCAACATAATTATGTCTAATGGAAGAGATCCCTGTAAACTGAAAATTTTAAACCATTAGAAAAAAAGATGGTTTGTTTTCCATTTGTGATTCAATGACAACAAAGACCACAAATTCCTTCCAGATAACAAATCTATTATCATGTCACATGCAGAAGCAGCTATCCTGATATGCGATATCATAGAAGTCCTTTCACAAAATGTGGCCCAAGTCAGGACATTAAAGGATACAGATAACAGCTAAAAATAAAAAGGAGCCAAAATCCTAATTATCCAGTCTCTCAAAATAACATCAATTCAAGCCATAAAGACATACATAACCTCTTCCTATCTCTAGTGTGAAGATAACATCTTCCTATCTCTAGCGTGAAGATGATCAATGCAAGGTACGTGCATGTTGTAGTTGTACATTGTGCACCAAATGTATCTACAAACAGGGGAAGATCCATGTGGATGGGTGGGAGTGCCATGGCACCTGCAAGGCTGCAACTTGGGAAATACTACAGAAAGTATGTTGATATCTTTTGAAACTTGGCTATGTAATTTAAGTTGGCACCCGCATTCAGAAAAGAGGAATAGGTCCAGGGGTTGGGAGTGACCTTAAATGTTACTTTGGCAAGGAGCAAAATTTGAATTATTCAAGCTCCTATTTTTGTTTGTCAAGGATTTCTCCTCTTATATTTTTTTATAATCGTGGCATCCCACCAAGCATACGGATACCTTCAGTAATTCCACGTGATACCTGCTATCTCCCACCAGCAATAGGTATCGGCAACTCTATCCACTAAGGTTGGGACAGATGAAAAGAAATCACCTAGTGTTTTTGCCTATTTGAACCTGAGACCGCGTGGTTCTTAACCCACTTCATTAACCAAAAGAATATTTCCTCCTCTTATATTTTCCTTTACCTCTTTTCTATTTTATCATTTTGTTACTTTTCTTATAATGTTCTATGTCCAGGCTTCCTACTTCTCTTTCTATTTGTTTTTTCCATATTTCCCTTTATCCTCTCATATTCTACTTCCTATAACAGTAACCTTGGAGAAATAAACACACAGAAAAGTACCTAAAACACATGAAATCTCATAAACTGAAGCGCCAGCTACAAACCAAATTAGAATTTCCATCTTTCAAGTCCGAAAAACTATTGACCTTTTGAAAACTCTAATGACCTTTTGAAAACTCTAACTGATCAAACTAATGATCCATTTCTTTTGTTTATTAGATTCAAAATTTAGTGGTTTGTTATGGTGTTCAATTCAATTTAGAATTTTTAGGCGCTTAAATCAAGCTGCAACAACTATAGGGATATCAAGTTGTTAAGCCATACGATGAAAGTGTGGGAGAGGGTGATTGAAGGGAGGTTGAGGAGGTGTGTGTCCATTTTCGAGAACCAATTTGGTTTCATACCGGGACGGTCGACTACTGAGGCCATTCACGTTGTGAGGAGATTGGTAGAGCAGTATAGGGCGGTAATGAAAGATTTGCATATGGTGTTCATTGACCTGGAGAAAGCCTATGACAAAGTCCCGAGAGAGGTTCTATGGAGATGTTTGGAGGCTAGAGGAGTGCTTGTAGCATATATTAGAGTGATTCGGGACATGTATGATGGGGCTAAGACATGGGTTAGGACAGCAGGAAGAGACTCGGACTAATTTCCGGTTGAGATGGGGTTGCATCAGGGATTTGCACTTAGCCCGTTTTTGTTTTCCTTGGCGATGGATTCTTTGACGCGTCACATTCAAGGGTAGGTACCTTGGTGCTTGTTATTTGCGGATGACATAGTCCTGATTGATGAGACGCGAGGTGGTGTTAATGAAAGGCTAGAGGTCTGGAGACATACTCTAGAGTCTAAGGGTTTAAGGTTGAGCAAGACCAAGATAGAATACTTGGAGTGCAAGTTCAGCGGTGTTACCTAGTAGGCAGATGGGGATGTGAGACTCAATATGCAAGTCATTCCCAGGAGAGAGAGTTTCAAGTATCTGGGATCTATAATTCAGAAGAATGGGGAGATACCGGAGCAGGGTGGATGAAGTGGAGGCTCGCTTCCGGTGTCTTGTGTGATACGAATGTGCCGTTGAGACTTAAGTGTAAGTTCTACAAGGTAGTGGTTAGACCGACTATGTTGTATAGGGCAGAGTGTTGACCAGTCAAAAAGTCCCATGTCCAGCAGATGAAAGTAGCGGAAATGAGGATGTTGAGATGGATGTGTGCGCATACTAGGTTGGATAGAATTAGGAATAAAGTTATTTGAGACAGGGTGGGAGTGGCCTCTGTGGAGGCAAAGATGCTTGAGGCAAGGTTGAGATGGTTCAGGGATGTTAAGAGGAGAAGCACAGATGCCCCAAACAGGAGATGTGAGAGGTTGACCTTGGGAGGTGAGATGAGGGGTAGAGGTAGGCCAAAGAAGTCTTGGGGAGAGGTGATCAGGCGGGACATAGCGCAGCTTGAGCTGACCGAGGACATGACCCTAAATAGAAGGGTATGGAGGTTGAAGTTTAGAGCAGAAGGTTAGTAGGTAGTCGTGTGTTTCCCTTTGTCTTCTCTAGTTCGATAGTATTAGTGCTAGTACGGTACCCTTTTTTCCCTTTATTTGCTATATTCGCATGTCTTGTTCCGTTATTACTTGTCATCGGTAATTCTGCAGTTTGCTAGCAGTACTTCGTTCATATTCTCGTTTGCTGCCTTGGATTTATTTTTCTAAATATATTATCTTGATATTACTTGTTATTGGTATTCCTTTCATATTCTTTGTTGCTATCTTCGATTTAGTTTTTTTAATTATTCGTCTTGCTATTACTTGCTAGCAGGGCTTCCTTCACCTTTTTAGCCGAGGGTCTATTGGAAACAGTTCCCCTGCCCTTCCAGGGTAGGGGTAAGGCTGCATACATCCTATCCTCCCCAGACCCCACTTGTGGGATTATACTGGGTGGTAGTTGTTGTTGTTGTAGGCACTTAAATCATGATGAGAATGTTGTATGAATCAGCAGATAATATGAATTTACTTAGATTTGTTTCTTAGGACTTTAGTTTGTAATAGTGTATTTTCTTTGAATTTAATCCTATTTCATTCCAGGGAATCATAAGCATTTTAAACTAACATCTGATCAGAATATGTTGTGGGCTTTGTGTTGCATTTTCAATCAATTATCTAATAACACGAGCTAACTTACGAGCACCTCAACTATTTCACCGGGTACCGATCACTTCCTACCAGCACGAGTAATTCTTAAGCAGAAGGGAAGAAGAAGAAATCACCTAGTGCTTTTGCCTCCGCTGGGATTTGAAAACTTTTGGTAGCTATGGATCAGAAAAGCTATTAAACCAATCCGAATTAACCCAGAATAGATCAAACCAAACCAATTATACTCTCCTTCTCAGCTATAAACACAGATAAAATAAAATAAAAAAGAGGGAGAAAGAGAGTACTTGCCATCATCATTTGAAGTAGCAGAACCAAAATTACTGCCAGGAGAAAGTGATTCTGCAGGTCTTAAAAACGACCTAGGCAAAGCCATCTCATCATCCTCATCCTCATCCTCATCCTCGTCATTTCCTTCATCTCCGTCCTCGGACTCTTTGGAATCGTCGACCAATTGATCAAAACCTAGGTTTATTATCTCTTCACGTTCACTGTTACTTTCAGCTTTGCCTGAGGGATCCGGAGGGGTTTCGTACTCTTCATCACGGTCGAAGAAGTGTACAGAAGTCATCTCAGCAAAGCTCACTCTTCGTGCTCGCTTCTTCTGCATCGCCATGGTGGTGCCGCCCTCCGAGTTCTCCGTATTGTTGTGGTTCTGATGGCGGTCCTCGCTGGTGACACCGGCGGCGACGGTCGTCGGCGCTGCCGGGGAAGACATTTCAAAATTTTGAATTAATCGGAAATTTATTGCAGATTAGGGCTCGCTCTGCTTGCTGTACTACACTCAGTGAGTGAATTTTTTGTGCGGGAAAGGCGAAATGTTTTTCGGTTTAAAAAACTCGCAATTTTATATAACTTCTACATAATTTCCCTAAATGCTTTTGTTAGAAAAACCCAAAATAGTCCATATTCTTCGAAAAATGATACACTTTTGGTCCTCTCCCAAACTTTTTACTATTACTTTTTTAAGGTGAAAGCGACGACTACACGCGGACTCCTGATCAGGAAGAAAGATGTTGATCTCAGATTACTACGGAAAGGATGCATTTCACATAGTCCATTTGGATATCAATTCTAAAGCAAGAGGCTAATTGGATTGTCTTTTCAATAAAAATAACTTTTAAACTAAAAAGCAATAAGTTAGGTTTGCTGCTAAAAATAAAAATAATAATAAGTTAGGGTTGCCCAGTTTATTACTTTTGGTTTGTTTTAAGCAATTTTTAACTTATTTAAAAAAACTAAAAAGAACTTGATTTGACCAGCATAAAAACCAATCCAACGTGTCAAGGGAAGCTTCGCTGCTAGAAAGTATTGTCTTGTAATCGTATTTGATTGTAAACCAAAAGTAATTAGTTCCTGCACGAACAATCCTATTCAAACCTGGAATAATCATACAAACAAACCAAATCTGCATGCCTACTAAGGTCCCGTTTGGACATAAGAAAATTTTCCTTTTTTTCAAATTTTTTTTTGAAAACAATGTTTGGTTATCAAAATCTTACAATTTTTCCAATCTCACTTGGAAATGCATTTTCAAATTTGAAAAACCGGTGAGAACTAGTTTTTCAATTGAAAATAGGAAAGTTTCTCGTGTTTAGTTGCAAAATATGTGGAAAAAAAGACATCCAAATATGTTACAAAAATTATAACCAAACACAACTTCATCTTCAATTCAAATTTTAGTGAAATTCCAAATTTGAATTTATTTTTTGTTGGTGCAAAGGAAACTATTTTATAGCGTATTAAGGTGGATCGTTACAAGTAGGAGGCAACAAACGCAACATTCCAGGGGGACGACCTCGTGATGGGTCGTTACAAAAAGGGGGTGCTAGGGATAAGCTAGTAGATGTAGAAGCCGTTCCCGAAGGACCTACTAAGTACTGAAACTCCAAAAAGCAGGAAAAAATGAATAAACTAGAGATTGAAATCAAATTGACTTAAACAAGAATGGAGAAGATGAGTCTCAGATGAGAGACCCCTCTCTCCGTTAACAAAGTACCAGTTTGGTGATAGACCGAAAGTGTACCCTTTTTCCAAAAAATATGGACTATTACTGCACCATGTGGAAGATCATGGATGATTTTGAGCATAAGTCTTAAGATAGAGCCTGTTTGGCTTAGCTGATTTAGAGTAGTTGATAAGCACAGGTGCTGAAAAACACTTTTAAGTGCTGAAGCTAATTTTAAAAAATAAACAGTTACGCATTTGAATAAAAGTGCTGAAATTAATAATAAACAGCTAAAGAATTGGGTATACAAAGAGTTTTGTTTTAAAAAGAAGTATTTTAGTGATAGAATAGTAAATATTTTGGTCAAACCTAATGTGCTTATAAGCTAAAATTTGATAAGTTGGGGGAGACCAACTTATGGCTTTTGGCTTATAAGCACTTAACTTATAAGCACTATTAATTTTACCAAACATGTAGATAAGCCAAAAAGTACTTATAAGCCAGTTTGACCAGCTTATAAACTTAGCCAAACACCCTCGTAGTCGACTATTTTGAGCTTTTTCTCTAAAAAATTTTGCAGAAAATCTTCTTCTACTTTTTGAACCAAATGCCACCACATCTCATACATTTTGTTTCACAGGCAGACAACTTAGTAAGCATACACGTTCAAACCATAAAAGGAAGTGAACACTGCCAAGTAAGTCATCTGCCTCTCGGAATAATTGGGTCTCTACGGGTTGAAACAACAGACGCAATTGTGCTTTCCCACAGGTCTGCTAGGAGCGTACTGAAACTAAATAACACTCCATGTAAAGATGAATCAGCGTTAATGCTTAGCTCCTGATTGTGGCAAGATTCACCCATATAACGCACGCCAAGGCTCTTGAGTTTCTCTTGAAGATTTGGTTGCATCCCATGCTATCTTTTCTGCTGAGAAATTAAGAGATGAGAAGCTAGCCAAATGCCGTCCTATCTCATGTATCACCTGGAAGTTAGAAAATGAGATATAACGTATTAGTATATTTTATTTTGTTTTTCATCCTTTTTCTGGATAAGTACGCTGAGAGGATGATTGGGGTTGGGG